TTCACATTTCCTTTCCTTTACAACTCTCTGATGAATACATCTTATCTGATAGCCAGATTCTGCTACCGCTACACAGTGTTTAAACCTTGCCCAATGAATCATCCCATTGATTAACCACTGCAGAACAATGGGAGCAGAGACAGACAAGAGGCAGGGAATCCCATGACATTTATGAGCTCACTATGGCCCATCTCCCCAGTCTCTGTCAGTTGTTTTTGCTCTCATTTGCAGCTTTCCCTCCCTGTCGTTTTTTTTAAAGTCCCAGGACCTGCTAAAGACCTTGCTAGTTCACCAAAAACAAGAGCCCAATGTGGATTACTGCAGGTTTTAAGGAGACAAAAATGGGACCAGGATGAAGAATCAAGATATGACGTCTCAAATCAGGAAAAGGAAGGGAGTATTGGGGGGGCCGGGCAGATGACTCGTGTACAATGGGGCCGGAGAAAATCAATGGAATTTAGGAGCTTTGCAAGCATTCATTAGTGAGGAGTTTAGGATTAATTGGATCAAGGTAATTAGCATCCAGCTGCCTGTGTAGATGTGCTGTGACTGAAAAACTTCATTGTTTAAATTGTTCATTGTTACAAGCATCTGGAAGGGTCTCCTCCTCCTTTGTAGTCACCAAAAGAAATCAGTCTAAAAAGCAAGCTTTTATCATACATGACTTTTCCAATCATGCTCCCAATGATTCTGGGGTAGTCAAAGCAACTATAGCAGTTAAAAACAAATCACCCAGTATTATGTATTTGTAGATTTTTGCAGCTGTCTTAATCTCAAACATACTAATGTCCTAAATATCAGATCTGCAAACCTACTCCTCATGTTTTTCTGCTATTTACAATTGGTAACCAATTGATTCCATTGGTTTATTTCTATAACAGGTACTTTTCATTGCTTTCCCTGATGGATGCCTGCAAATCAGAGGGAAAAATACTTAATTTTGATGAAAAAAATCTGTTAAATAAACTAAGGAAATAAGATCACAAAATTGGTCTGAAATCAACTAGATGAAATTCAGTAAAGACAAGTGGAAAATACTACACATAGGGAGGAAAAATCCAGTGCACAAATTCAAAGTGGGGAATAACTGGCTGGTGCTAGTACTGCTGAAAAGGATCTAGGGGTTATAGTGGGTCACAAATTGTATATAAGCCAACAATGTGGTGCAGTTTGGAAAAAGGCTAACAATGTTTTAATAGGAGTGTTGCATAAAGACAAAGGAGGTAGTTGTCATGCCCCACTCAGCACTGGAGGCCTCAGCTGGAGTACTGTGTCCTGTTTTGAGTGCCACACCTTAAGAAACATGTGGACAAACTGCAGAGAATCCAGAGTAGAGCAACAAAAATGATAAAATATAACCTATAAGGAAAGGTTAAAAAAACTGGACATGTTTAGCCTTATGAAAAGAAGACTAAGGGTGACCTGGTAATAAGCTTCAAAAATTGTAAGGACTGTTATAAAGAGGATGGTGATCAGTTGTTCTCCATATCCACAGAAGCTAGGACAAGAAAAAGTTGGCTTAACCTGTAACAAGCAAGATTTTGGCTAGATATTAGGAAAAACTTTATACCTGTAAGGATAATTAAGTACAGGAATAGGTTGTGACGGGTTGGGTCACAGAGATCCCCTTGTGAACTGCCACCTGATGTGCTGGGACTACCTCTGAGCCCATTTTCCCTGGCAGCTTGGGACTTCAGTACCTTGCCTGTTTGTGCCAGACACACTAGCCTGCTACAAACACAGACCCAGGTCTGAACCACGTCCCCCAAAAGCTGCAGGCTTAACTGAAAACAGTTTAAGAAGTGCTCCTGTCTCCAATACCCAGATACCCAGTTCCCAATGGGATCCAAACCCCAAATAAATCCATTTTACTCTGTATAAAGCTTATACAGGATAAACTCATAAATTGTTTGCCCTCTATAACACGGATAGAGAGATATGCACAGCTGTTTGCTCCCCCACAAATTAATTACTTGCTCTGGGTTAGTTAACAAGTAAAAAGTGATTTTATTAAATATAAAAAGTAGGATTAAGTGGTTCCAAGTAATAACAGACAAAACAAAGTAAGTTACCAAGCAAAATAAAATAAAACATCTTAGGCAAGTCTAAGTCTAATACAGTAGGAAACTAAATACAGGTAAATCTCACTCTCAGAGATATTCCAATAAGCTTCTTTTACAGACTAGACTTCCTCCTAGCCTGGGTCCAGCAATTACTCACACACCCATAGTTACTGTCCTTTGTTCCGGTTTCTTTCAGGCATCTCTTTGGGGTGAAGAGGTTATCTTTTGAGCCAGCTGAAGACAAAATGGAGGGGCTTGTGCAACATCACAGACACAAGATGGGGTCTCTAGCCATCTGGGCAAGTCACATGTCTATGAATGATTCAGCTTTTTGAAGGCCCACGCCATTGTTTACATGTTAGTTTGAATGTTCCCAGGAAAGCTCAGATGCGGATTGGTGTCTCTCAAAGTCCATTGTTAGTTAAATACTCCCAATTACTTGAATAACCCCTTCACTCTATGTTGACCAAATCTGCCTTATGTGCTTCCTAAAGCAAACACTTTAAATACAAGCATAGAGCCAACGCTCATAACTTCAGATATAAAAATGATACATGCATACAAATAGGATGAATATATTCAGTAGATCATAACCTTTGCAAAGATGTGTTACATGGCATATCTAGCATACAACATATTCCAGTTATGTCATATTTACACTCATAAGCATATTTCTATAAAGCATTATGGGGTGCAAAGTCACATAGGTTACCAAGGAAGGTTGCAGAATCCCCATAACTACACTACATGACCTCTCGAGGTCACTTCCAGCCGCCCTACATTTCTCTGTTTCTATAAATGACCTGGAATGCAGGAAATCTCTTCTCGACCACACTAAAGTTCAACTGTCTAATCACAGGCTTACTTTTTTGGACAAGGGATGAGGTAAGAAATAAAATGAGGAGCAACTCCTAATAAACCTTGTGCAGTACTCTTGTTCATAACATTGACAAATTACAAACTTTAGAATAACAATTTTTCAGGAGTAATAATCACCTATCCTGGGTTAGCTTTGGCCAATGTCAATCCTGGGGTCATTAGTGTGACCTCCATAAAGCCAGTAGATACACAGACAAACATACTGACTTAAAGAATAGAACTTTAGAAAACTTTTTAAATTCTGTATGTAGTTTTTCTTTCTCCTTGCCACACAAGTTGTCATTCAAGTGGTTGACAGGAAACCTAGTAAATAGTTCCCTGCACTCTGCTTTCATTAACACAACATAAATACTTCAGGAGTCAGAAGCTAAATCAACTAGATTATGTATCTATTTAGGACAAAACCCTTCTCCATCCTTTTTGTTTCTGTATTTTTTACTTTTCACAGTTTGTTTTATGTTGCATTACACATTTTTGTGACGTGATTTGTGTTTTGGTGGCTGCATTCATAACGCTTCCATCAGGACAAAAAAAATTGCTGCTGGTTTGGACCATTTTTACTCCCATAAAACTGCTTCTATATTCCCCAGCCACCACCCCAAGCACAAATATTGTTATCTGCCAACATAAAGTGATTGTCTCCATAGTATCAGAGCTTGCAATTTGATTGATACTACCTTTTATACAGCAGTCACAGAAGGACAGATCAAGGAAAAAGTACTTCTATCCCATTCTCACTAGCAAATTTAAATATACAATGTATTGTTTTGAGATTTTTAGTTTATAATTCTCTTGAACATGCATCCGAAGAAGTGGGCTGTAGTCCACGAAAGCTTATGCTCTAATAAATTTGTTAGTCTCTAAGGTGCCACAAGTACTCCTGTTCTTCTTTTTTCTTGAACATGGAGTCACTTTACATTAGATCTAAAATTCACTTATATTTCAATCATGTTTGAGCTTCAGTTTTGTTCATTTTAATCAAACATAAGTTTATAAATAATCAGCAGAATGTTCCCCAAAGCCACCTGTCCTAGAAATCAGTTGGTATGGGAATGAATATTTTAGAACAAAATATCAGGCTAGATTTAAGTGCAAAATCATCATTAACAAAAATGATGACCCCCAATCTCCTTAAGTGTGCCCTAATCATCTGTTCTCTGCAAAGGTGGGCTGGCTCCAGAGCACAGTAGCTATTTCTCAGGTCTGACACTACCTTTTTGTCCCCAAGCATTACTGCACTGAAAGTTGTGTGCTGTTGTGATCAGTTTCACACTTGGAAGGGAAGGCTGGCATTCCTATGTAACTGGGCTGGCTGCTCTTGTCCTCTTTGAACACCTTGATGAAGCCTCCAACAATACCACCGAGAGACAAGGTGAGCAAGGTACTATCTTTTATCGGTCCAATAAAAGATAGTACCTCACTCATCTTGTCTCTCTAATAGCCTGGGACCAACAGGCTAAAACCACATCCCTTAGCTGAGTCACATACAACCCTAGTACTAGTCCTTGTTGCAACAGCCCTTCTTTGGTTCTCCAGCCTTCCTCTCACACTGGAGGGCAGGGAGGATAGTTTATTTTTTCCCCACACTCCGCTGTCAACCAGACACCACTGTCAGCCCGCCTCGACCATCTTGAAACCAAAACCTCACTTACACATCCTTCATCTGACTAAAAGCTTTAGTAGGGGGACGTTTGATCTTCAACAGGAGTGTGAGAGCAGGGCCGGGGAGGTTCTCCTGTCTTCAACATCAGTCACATCCGCCTGCTCTGCAGGGATCCAGTCAGTTCCTCCCTGGCAGGACTGGGGAGCGCTCCACGTGGCTCCGCTCAGCTCCAAGGTAAATGTGCGGAAGCAGCACCAAGCTGGGGAAGCCGGGACCTCCCTCTGGGGCTCCATGGCACCGGGCAGCGTGCCAGCGCTGGGCTGCGAGGGGATATTCCCGGAACAGTGAGCGGGTGTTCGCAGGGGGCATGTCCCAGCCCCTCCCCTGGTCGCGGTTGGTTTGTGCTGGCAGCGGGGCTGGGCGAGGCGCTGCGCGGGGGCGGGACCGCAGGGGAAGAGGTGGCCGCCGAGCTGGGGGAGCCCGGTCACTTCCTCGCACTCGGTTGCCGCGGAGTTTGCACGGGGCTCGCTCGGCGCCGAGCCGGGAGGTGAGGCTGGAGGCGGCGGCGCGGGGTGCCGCGCCTCGGCACAACTTCGCGGGTGGAGTCGGGTCTCTCTTGCAGCGGCGGCTTTGTCGCAGCCGCCACCTCTGGACTGGGGCAGCCCGATGAGCCGGGCGGGGCGCCGGTTCTGGTGGGGATTCAGGTTTACCCAGGCGCAGGGAGCTTCCCCTGGGACAGCGGAGCCGGGCTGTGCCGGGTAAGGAGTGATCCCGGCGGGCCGCCCTGCGCGGGGTGGGGGGCACGAGTGAGGCTGGGGAGTCTCCCTTTATTGCTGGGGGGGGGGGGGCTGCAAGGGGGGCGCTCCGCACGTCCGGCGAAGTGCTGCTGCTTTATCCGTCTCTTTACTCCTTGCAGGTCTCGCTGGGGGTGAGGGGCGCCCCTCCCCCTCGCCCCGAAGAAGGGGAGCGGGTGGCAGCCTGCGAGGCGCCCCAGGCCCTGAGGCTGCGGCACCTCGGCCGTGAGGAGGGTGCCGCCTTGCTCCCCTCCTGCGCGCCCCGGGGGCAGCAGAACGTACCCCGGGCGGAGAGTTTCTGTCCAGGCTCCCGCGGCGGGCAGCAGCGTCCGGATCCCGGCGAGCGCGAGCCAGAGGGGCGCGAGGATGGCGGGGCGCGCTCTGCGGGGCGCTGCGCCCCCGGCCCCGGGCGGGGAGAGGCGGGCGGCGCTGGGGCTGCTGCTGCAGGTGCTGCTGGGCTGGGGCTCGGCTCAGCAGCCCGGCTCCTGCCCCGCGCCCTGCGAGTGTTCCGAGACGGCCCGGACGGTGAAGTGCGTGAACAGGAACCTCACGGCGGTGCCCCCGGACCTGCCGCCCTACGCGCGGCTCCTCTTCCTCACGGGCAACCGGCTCTCCAGCCTCCCGCCCGGCGCCTTCCTTTCGCCCCCGCTGCCCCAGCTCAGCCTCCTCAACCTGAGCGGCAGCCACCTGGAGCAGGTGGAGGCGGGCGCCTTCGCCAGCCTGCCCAGCCTGAGGCAGCTGGACCTGAGCAGCAACGCCCTGGCCAGGCTCAGCCCCGAGGCCTTCGGCAACGCCAGCAGCCCCCTGGAGAAGCTGAACCTCAGCAACTCCCTCAGCAACCAGAGCGCGGTGTCCGCCCTGGCCGAGCTGCTGGGCTCGGGGGTGCTGGGCAACCTGAGCCGCCTGGAGCTGGCCGACAACAGGCTGCTCTCCCTGCCTGCGGGCATGTTCTCCTCCCTGCCCAGCCTGCAGCACCTGGACCTGCGGAACAACTCCCTGGTGAGCTTGCAGGCCGCGACCTTCCACAGCCTGGCCCAGCTGCAGAGCCTCGACCTCAGCCACAACTCCCTGAAGTGCCTGAAGAACGCCACCATCGCCCAGCTCCGCAGCCGGCCCGCGCTCCGCAAGATCAGCCTGGACCACAACACCTGGGTCTGCGACTGCTGCATCGAGCACTTGGTGAGCTGGCTCAAGGAGAGCGACCAGGTGGAAGGGAAAGGGGCCTTGAAGTGCTCTTACCCTGACAAGATACGGGACAAACCCCTGGTGAAGATCAACAGCTCAGACCTGGACTGTTCTGTGCCTGTAGACATCCAGTCCCAACTGCAAACTTCGTATGTCTTCTTAGGGATAGTGCTGGCTCTCATTGGAGCCATTTTTCTCTTAGTTTTGTATTTGAACCGAAAAGGAATCAAAAAGTGGATGTACAATATCAGAGATGCATGTAGGGATCACATGGAGGGATATCACTACAGATACGAGATGAATGCAGACCCCAGGCTAACAAACCTCAGCTCTAGTTCTGATGTATGAAGATACACTATGGAAGCAGGGCAGGGCACAATAGCTATGCATGAAATGTAGACTTAAGCTTTACCCTCATGCTCACTTCCCCTCTCCCAGAGAAACAACAGATTTATTTGTGCCACGTGGGGAATATGCCTCCAGGTAATGTAAAGGTGATGACTATTTTCTGTTACCCTGAAACATTGAGCAATTGTGCATGGTGTTGGGCTGTACATAAGAAACATGCTGCTATTCCCTCTCTTCCTCCCCCCACCACCTGTTTTTCTTTGGAACTTGCTCTCAATACTTATTTGAAACATTTTTCAAGATCTAAAGTGAAAAAGATCCTCTCTTTGATGTTCCCAAACCGCAAGAGCATATACAATTTACCAATACAGATACTATCCAACAAAAACTGCCTCAACTTTTTTGGGAAAGAAGCTTTATTCATCGATTACAGTTTTGTTCTTATGTATCCTAACTGAGAAGAAAATAATTTTATTCCATAAGCTACCTGCAGATTTAAAAAGCTCCTAACAACTCTGTACAAAGAAGCAACTAAAATAGTGAGCATGCACAAATACTTTGTAGTTTTACATGTTAGGGAAAACTTACAACCTCAATAAGCCGCTTACTCTTTTGTAAAGTTCTTTTTGATGGCAGTTTACATGAAAATAGGATGCTTTTTTAATATAAACTGCATATAAACTCAGTTTGAACTGTTAAATAATTCAATAAATGTTCTTACAAAGAACTACTGTTGTGCTGAAATTTGTTTAATGATAAAACTCTGAAATAAATGCATGGAAGTATAAGTTTGGGAAATATAAAGTTATTCACAAGTAGTTGTACCGTATTAATTCATGGAAAACAAATTCTGTTTTTATAGAACAGGGTCCAGTTTAGAGTCTGGTTATAAGTATTCACGTGGCAATTTGTGAATCACCGTCTAAGACAAGTTCTCCACAGGGAGAACAGATTTCCCTTAGTAAAAAGCCCAGCAAACAAAACAAAAAACAAAGAGGCTTAATGCTAGGTTCTCCCTTATCACTAAAATACTGCAAGATTATAAACAAATAAAAATTACGTGAAAACGTACACTGCAATTAAAAATAAAGTGCGATGATGCATGCTTAAAGCTTTAGAAAATTGCATCTAAACTATTGCTTTTAATTATATAGCAGATTTTCCATAATAAATTAAATGTTGACAAATCCTGAAGGCACAATTTGGCACATGAAACTTAATGTTTGTTATTTGAAACTTGCAATCCTTGGGCAATACTGCAGTAATTACACTGTGCATCATGTTTTGAGATCTGACCTAATTTTACTGCTTCTTAAAACTACTAACAGGTCATCTTTAATAATAATTCTATACATGTTTGTGCTTGACATTTGCCTATGAGTGACATTTTGTTTAAATGTTTATGCAGAATACATAAGGAAGGACTTTATCATATTGCCTAGTATTTAATTTTAATGGCACATTTTGAAAGGATAGCAACTGAACCATCTGTAGCCACCAATAACCTAATGAGCTTTTTCTTGTAAACAGATTCTAAATGAAAGGGGACAGATTCACATTGAACTTTTAACACTTAATTTAATATTTCCGCTTGTTGGCTGAGCACTTCAATTATTTTATCTGACATTCTTAAACAATACACATAACTTAATATAAAGTTTGTCTGGTACACAGATTATTTTTTGCTTTTAATAGTGAAAATTGTAGTAGCTATATGCTTTTCATAAGACTTTTTATGAACATAAAGTAGCTCAAACTAAGATATTGGGTAAAAATAAAAATATATATATAAACTTAGTCTGACAGTTGTCACCATTTAAATGCAATTTTTTTATCCTTGCGGCATGTGACATTCTCAAAGTAATTAATTTGTTTTAAGACTAACTTCTGTAGCTTGAAATCATCAACATTCACTAACACTGACATTTTGTTTTTAAGGTACACAATTCTGAGAATAAGGAAAAGGGACGAACTCCCAAAATTTTGATGCATGTATTTTAAAACTAATGACCTATGATAGCTTCTCCTACTCTGATGATGAATATAAGGATCACAGAACACTAGGTTCAGTTTTCAGATTTAAAAAAAAAACCTTCCCAAAAGTCAGTTAAAGTATTTAACAATAGTGAAATTAGTGTCTGAATAACTTGCTGTGCAACTACCAAAAAATTCCTTAAAGGTCATGATTACTTAGTAAATGCAAAATAGTTTGTGTTATAAGATAGTATTTTAGTTACATGACAAGCTATGTTGTATTGGTTATTTCAGAGATTGTCACCTTCCATGTGTTTGTACAGTGCCTAGAACAACGGGGCCTCAATGTCATTGGCCTATAGGTACTACAGCTGTATATATGTATAATAATAATTTCAAATATATACCAGCCAAGCAGTTTCCTGGAGGCGTGGCCTTTGTTAATAGATAAGTTTAAAAATAAATACAGTAAAATATCAGTCTTTCATACATAGCTTATTAAGGATAGCTAATTGACTATCTTAGTCACATAATCTGTAACTAAAGAATTCAGCAAGTCCGTGTTTGTGTAGTGGAAAAGTGTCTCAAGTGTACCAACATCTATTAGACTCAATGATTATCAGTGTTTTTGTATGATAGTCACTGTAGTAAAATTGTTGAGAGAATTGGTGACACCTGCTTTAAAAATAAGTTCTGCCATTTGCTTTCAAGTAGATTTATTAGTGTATGACCATTAGACTGTGACAGTGTTGTGTTATGCTGATACGCACTAAAATGTTTGACCAATAATGAATGCTTTGGTGTTTTTGTAGAAACTATAAAATGCATCTGAACTTTAAAATCTTTTCTATAAAATTCATGGTTGGAGCTTGTCTTCCTTTCCTATAAGAAATAGTTAGTACACAGAAGACAAGAATAAGATAGTTATAAAAGTGCTTCTGAATTTTTAAAAAGTGTACATTGTAAATGCTTTGGGATTGCAGGGTTTTCTAAAGCGTACTCTTTCCCACTGCTTATCCTGCTTTGACACCTTAAATTTCACCTAATTACTACTTCCAAAGCAGTTTAATTGGTGGGAGGGCTATTTTATTCCTTCAGACTTTAATAAAAAGTATGCAGTATTAAATGCTTTCAACCTTTTTTTTTATATATATATATATATATATATATATTATATATATATATATATAGGCAACATCTGAAAGTTCCAAATGGGCTGGTTGTCATTGAGGTTTCATAGGAAAGAGCATCTGGCCTAAAGCAAGGGGGTAAGCTTCAAGAAGGATGAGTAGCCAAGAATCAAAAAGGATAAATAGTATTAGATTAAGGGGTCTCTTGCTGTCCTAAAAGTAGTCTAATTATAACAAGCTTAATCTTCTTTAAGAGAGGGAAGCAAAGTGAAGCTGGGAGTTAGAAGAATTTTAGTATGCTTCTCATAAATATGAAGAAGTGTAGTTTAGATAAATTGTCATTGTCCATTCAGGGACAGAAAATTCCCCAAATCTTCCTAAGCCCAGTCAGCTGTTAGGTAGCTAAACATTTGATATGTTCAGCAAAACAGTGCATGACTGCTAAATTAAAACTCCAAAAGTAATCAGAATTTTTACACACCTGTTTTTAAATCTTTTCTTGTTAGCTAGTTTAACTTTTAAGCATGGCTAATAATGCCCTTCTAACAGATAGTCAGGTGAAGCCATCGGTCCAAACCAATATACAGTACTGGCCAAAGCTGCCATCGGACTCGGAGTTATACCTAGACATGATGGTAACATTCAAAGTTTTGTTGCACTGAGAGCTAAAGCTCTAATTTTATAACTAACAAGTGTTTTCAATGAGAATTTGTTATAGATCTATACTGTTTCTCCTTTTTCTCATTCCCCAGAAATCCATTTGTAGATATATATAATGAAAGGGTTCCACAAACAGAAAATCAGTCTGAGTACAACTGCATTTTGAGATTCACCGTTGTCATTTGCTCATAAGTTTTTATACTAAAAGGGCCCTTGTCAAGGTTGACAGGACCAAAACTTGACACACACTTTTTCCTCTCTGCAGCAGCTGAGTGTTCATGAGCAACCGCACAATAACTCTGAACATGTGATGAAGGAAAATAACATTTGGTAAGACATTTTAAATTCCAAGCTTCCAAATTAATTTTGTCTACTGTGATAGAGGGCGAGGGGTTAAAAAGATAAATTGTTTTTAAAACTATGAAAGAGACCTTGATTATACCCATTTGAAATTTGTCAACAATGATAATCCCAACACAGCTGATAGATGCAATTATTGATTGATATCAGATAGCGTTCTTACACTGTTGGAGACCCATAGGCTTTCTTACTGTGGACTGTCTTCATGGGTCTACACGCATCTTATTTCTAACGAGCTACGGCAGCGAGGTTTTTGTGCAAAGCAAGTAGAGCTAGGTTCTTGTAATGTTCTTAATGCAGGTGTTTCACCTGTGACATTTTTGGTGTGGCATAGTGGAATATAGATGTATGTAGCATAAAACGTATGTGATCCTTTACAAACAGATTTACATGTTTTCTGCCCGAATGGGCTTTCAGTACTCTTTTAAGTGCAAGTTCTTTTAAATTAGCAAACCAACAAACTTGTAGTCTTTAAGACTGCTGAACATTATGATGTTCTGGGCCTGCTGCAGTTCCTATTAAAACAATGGAGACTCCCATTGAATTCAGTTAGATTTAGATATCTCTAATGTAATCAATATAAATCAAAATGATAAAAATGGGGAATGATTAAGCTACTAAAGTTTATTTTAATAGATATATTTTTATTGTAGCTCTTTAAATAGTAATTATTTACATTTTTCCCCAAAGCATTCATTGGACAGCATTTTCCTCTTTTGGAAAATGGTGAAATAATGTGTCTCTTGAGTTCTCTAAAATTATGCATGAGATAAGATCTAACATCCGAACAAACTAGTAGTGATATGTTAATAGACATTGTGGTGAAAGATTTAGAAAGTTAGTCTGATTATTCTAGAAATCTTATGCATGGAAGAGACTTGTAAAATCTTTAAATTCAGGGCATGTGCAAATTGAAGCTAGGTTTTATTATTAAGAATGATTGTTGAACAAAGACATGTTGGTTTTGCTAACAGATTACTTATAAATGTTGTGTGCTCTCTTGATTTATCTACTTTAAATTTTATAGGCAATGCTGGATTGTGGTTTTAAATAAGAATGTAATTTTTCTTTATAGTAGAGATTATGGATGTGGTACCAATTTTCATTAACTAGTACTGATGAAAGCCATTTATGTGCAAACTGCATGACTTTTACTTGCTTAAAAAAAAATTGACAAATGATTTAAGGGATTGTGGCCTAATTATTCTTGTTGTTTTGCATGTAATGTGATAGCTTTCTGCTTTTTAAGCTTAATATGTGCAGTACTTTCCAAGTTGCATATTGATTTTTAACACTATTAATGATGATGGATTTTCAGGTTTTTAATGGTTCGATCAAAAAAAATCTGTATTTTACGGTCTGCAAATATATATTTACATATAAAGAAATTATGGTGACTGATAGTGTCAATTCTCTTACTATGGGGAAATTATAAAAGAAAAATTGCCAAGAGTTCTGCCTACACAGAGGTTGCAGGCTCAGTCACTTAAAACAACAACAACCAAAAAACACCTTTTCCCTTGGGAATAAATCTCATTTTAAAAATCCCTATTTTTTTAGGAACATTTTAGATTGTGACAAAGTGGAAATAAAAGTGAAGGTTGCTGTTTCATCTTCTGAGACGTTGATATTGCAGAGTGTTGAGGTCATTACAGTACCGTTGTGTTTTTTGTTCAAAATACACTGGCTCAAGAATAAACCGGAATACATGGTCAGTCTTAGCTCTAACTTTTTTTGTTTTGTTTCATTCTTAGTGTTAACTTAGCACAGAAAGATGCTTAAATGTAAACATATTGGGGTCGCCTACATATTGGAGTTTTACAGTCTACAAACATCCAAACACTTACGTGTATGTTGAACTTTATTTACTAGCGTAGTCCCATTGAAGCCAATGGATTTGTTCATGAGTTTAATATAGTGAAATACTTTTGCTTTTAAGCATCTAAACAAAAATGCATTGTTGACACTATTAAAAGTAAAATACTCACTGTCAAAAGAGTTTGTGGCATCCATTATATTGGTTAATTAATGGGGAGATAGTTGTTTACTCCTAGGGATATTCTGCGTCACTGCGCATATGCAGAATTTATGTCCGTGGCAGATTTCTCTGCTTCCTTGCGGAAAAATGACTTTCTGATGGGAAAGCAAAGGGAAGCCTCAAGAGTGGTCATGAGACCCTCGCAGCAGTATGTTTCGGGTGCCCAAGGCAGCCGGCAGAGAGGTAAATCCCTGTGAGGTAGGGGGCGGGACTGGAGAAGACCTGGCTGGTGGCTCCTACTCTGCACTGGACTCAGCTGCTAGTCCCAGTTGGGCTGGGGAGGACGGGACTTCCTCCCTCCCCCCCCCCCCCCCCCCGCCCATAGCATCTGGGGCCATGTCAGACCTACTCCCAAATTTCTACCCCAGCTGTAGGAAGCTCTGCAAATTCTCCCTCCTCCTCCTCCCTGTGCTTCCTGCACCCATCACTCCTCAGCTACAGGGGGAGGGATCTCTGTACAGGGAGCTCCCAGACCTCCTCCTACCCAGACCCTCCTGCCAAGCCTCACCATCCCAATGAGCCACCTGGATTCCCACCCTACCAAGGCCCAACCAGCTGCACCTGGATCCCCACCCCTTTGACCCCCACTCCCCCAGCATCTGGACCCACCCACTGAGCATCCCACACCCAGGCCCCCCTTCTGAGCTCTATTCCCCCCACACCCAGAACCTCCCCTGTTGAGCCTCAACTACCTTCATCTGGACCCCCCTGCAAAGTCCCATTACTGTTGCACCCAGAACCCTCCAACAAGCCCCTGTACATTCAGATCCTCGCCCGCTCCCGGATCCCCCACTGAGCTGCCTGCCCCCAGACTGCCCCCACAGAACCCTCTCAACCCACACTAAGCCCCTCCACACTTGGATCCTGTCTTGCTGAGCCTGCCTGTCCACACCTGGTGCACCTGGCACAGAAAGACAGAGCCCTGGGGTGTTTCTGGGGC